AAGGAGTTACGAAAACATTTTCAGTATGGAAATGATAAGACAGATATCAGTACATCCTGCCTGAAGTGCTAGGTAAGAAAAACGTCTTATTAGACAACAGCTAACTGTCCAAAAACACTCAAAGACAGACACCACGAACTGTGAAAAAAGTTTATCATCTGACAGTACACATTTAAATGTACTATAGTGCAACTTGTGGCAAATAAAATGAATCTGTTTCATTACAATAGCCTAGTCATAGCCAGTGGAAAGCAATGGAGACTTAAGCCTCCTTCAAAACAGCAAAGCAGCTACCACTCCAAGAAACATAGTGACATACAGAACCATACATCAATGAAAATGGTAATTCAAAGCAGAATGAAAGTTGGTAACTCCCACATCAGAACTAGCATGCTGAGAGAACAGTAAAATGCAACCTGCACAACTTCAGGCAGATTTACTTGCAAGGCAGTTACGAAGTGAGGGAGGGCAGGAATAGGTACACTACTCTTGTCAAAAGATCCGGTTGTTTTTCAGTAAGAGTTGTATCCAGGCATAGTAGAAATGTAAGAAATTCTGGAGGGATCAGATTAACATCAACTTCAGGATAAAGAATCCAATAAAATGAGATGTGTTTACCAATGCTGTCACACTCAGCCCCTGCATCTAGTATTTTATGTGAACCAATGCCTCAGCAGACATTCCTGGCTACAGCTGACAGAAAACAGAAGATTAGTTAACACAAAGTTTTGTTAACCTCTGGAGGATCAGTCTGTCATATAAATACATGATGCCTTTCATATCCCCCCATACTCCAGGACAAATACTAATACCACAGTAACTACTTCTAGGTAAGTAAGCAAACCAAATGCAGGAAAACATACTGCAGAAATATAGGAAAATCCCTGCTTACATTTGTTAAAACAAAAAGAACTTAGGAATAACTTCTGCAGCCTTCAGCAAGTAACTTTTCCTCTGAATTTCTTTGCTGGAGGTTCTGTTCAGGACTGACACCAGCTGACAGACAACAACATTCATAGAGTCAGCTCTGTAAGACCATCACTGCCCGACAGTCAGGACTAAACTTTGTTGTAGCACCAATCCCTGCGTGCACAAGGAAAGCTTCTCAATGTCAGTTCTATAATGGCAACAGAAAAAATCCTCCTTTACATGAGCTGTCTTCATCTGATAAAGCAGTGTGGCAGACACATTAGGCTTCATTAACAGAGGTAGCAATTGCTCATATTTTCATAATTCACACCTTAATGGTTAATCACAAATAAGAATGACTAGATTATAAAATGGGATGTGGACTCCAGAACAGAGTAAGGGGGAAAAAAAAAAAAAAGATGGAATTCAAAAACAGGAAAAGCTTATATTTCTGTAAAACCCTAACAAATATCTTTCCCTGGAATTGAAGTAGTGGGTATGATGAGAGAACAGACAGGATTCACAACAACTTAGAGGTGTGCCAACCAAGATGAAGACAAAAAAAGTGGATTCATGTTACTTTCTGGTGCACACCACAATTATAAAAGCCATGGCTGCTGTGCTACTTTACATAAAAATTGTAAAGTATCTATCTTAAGATAGACTACAATGTAGATTTTAGGTTTGACTACTTCTGAAAGGTAAGAAAGCTTACTACTTTTCATGTTAAATTAATGACTATTACACAAGAAAATGACAGAAAAAAGTTTACTTTGGAAATTGTTTGCCAGTCAGACAATGCTGAACACAAGGCATTTAACCCAGGGAATTCAAGGTTCTTTATCCATATCAAAATATTCTTATCTTCATGGCCTTGACAGTAAGAAAGCAAAAGGGATGAATGAAATGGAGATGGAAAGACAAAAAATGAACTGTTCATATTATGATTGATTCTCATTCCTAGATAGCACATGAACAGATGCCCAAGCACCTACATCTGTTTATGTCCAACTCTTTTTAAGGGTAGGTTGTTTTGGTTTTAAAGGTCACTGACTTGCATATCTGCCAAGTTCACTGAAAGTAACAAGTGCCCTTGTTTTGTCTCACCAAACACAAGAAGGTAGGAATTGATACATTTTCTCCCCTATATGCAGGGAAATCTTCCCAGAAAAACACCTCAAAAATCCTTGATAATCTTTAGGTGACTTTGACAGATTGAAAAATCATGTTTTGTAAAAGGTAAGCCATCAACCGTAACATTTTGAGGAAAAAAACCCCAGCAGTCATTTGTCAAAGGAGTGTTTTGTTTCTAAACATAAATTGACACGCTTTTTAAATTTGAAAAGTTAACATAAATAGTACACATATACTTCAAGTCACCACAGAACATGGAAAAATCTTGATTACCTGTCCTTTTTAGACACCATTCTGTTTCCCATTCTTCTCTCCCATTCCTACAAGATATCCCACCCAGAATACACTACCCGCAAGTATCTAAACAAGAGTCAGAAATATTCATCAGCTTCCTAGTTAACTTGTCTCCCATAAGTATACGTATCCTTTCATGAGACCTACTTACTCCACAAAGACAACAGAACATGCCCTACTCTATGGCAGCTTCTCTGCAAAAGCAGTTTTAATTGACATCAGGTTTTGTTTCTTATAATTCCCTTAAGACTTGATATCAGCATAAAGGGTATACTTTCATCACCACACCTTCATTCCTTTCTATCTTCTTTCCCCAAAAACAAGATCACAAAACCAAACAGGCTCACTATTATTATAAAAATGCAGGTATTTCAGCTAAATCTTTATTTACTCATATTTATATACTCTTTATGATACACCATTTGCTTACAAGGATTTTTTCCTAAAGCTCTTGGAGGTCAGCCTCAACTCAAGGCAGAACATGAGGTGCTACTTGTAATTCTAAATGCCTTACCTCATCTCACTTGTCAGACTAAAATGGTTCTACTCACAGTATACTAAGAGTTAACTGGTCACTAAATTTGGGTGCACGAGCAAGTTCTTTCCCTTTGTTAGGTTACTGTATACCAATAGAAATTTTTCTGTCTTCCTCCAGAGGAATTTTTATTTCTTAACATATTTCTTAACACTGTCTGGACATCCCACTTAAAGGCTTCCCAGGTATGGCAGAAGTTTTGGATGCTGTTCCAGAACCTTTTCTCTCCAATAGCTTTAAGACTGGTAGCATGGAATTTGTTACGGGATGATTAGCACCTGGTGCAGACATATTGCGGACCATTCTCAATTCCCGGTCCCTGCCTGGGTTTACTAGGGATTGGACCCAATGACCCACATGGTCCCTCCCTGTCCTATGTTCTTGACACTGATCTAGGCTAGGAAAGAGCATCAGGATTTGTTTTGTGCAATGAATGAGAGCTGATGAGAAGTCTCTAAATTTAAAGCAGAGAGGAGATACACAGCAAAAATTATCATGTGTCTTTTTCCTTTTTAAGTAAGTCCAAAACACAAAAAGCAATAAGAGACAGAACATGCATGTAAACTTCCTAGTGATGAACCGATTAAAATAACTCTCATTCTTCTAATTACCTAGGAGACTGAAGACCCATGGACCTTAATTTTCTGTCATTATACGGCTAAAGAGTTTATAGCCTGATTTTTAGAGTATACAGTCAGCAAATACTACGCGTTCGTACGCACAGATTTTTCTCTCCCCCCCAGGTGGCACGCAACCAACAACCAACTTCCCAACAGTGGAAACACAATGCTAAAAGCGATAAAGAAATTTCAAAGTCCCAGAAGTACCTAGAAGCACTAGTGAATCCGTGTAGACTGCTAACCTAAAGTCACCGTGGGTAACATCACTGTGTAAAGCAAAGCATGCTCCATCTACAGAATTTCCATCATAAACTCGCCCTGACACCAAAGTTCTGTTAACGATATTGACACAACCTACATACTAGGAAATATCACTTTTCCTAAATCAACATTGAATTTTCTAGGATCTCATGCTCTACCACCGCCATAGAGCAGCTCACTGCATGCCACAGAGTTAAACTCTTGGCTTAAACAGGCAGTAATTGATAGAACCCTCACCACCCAGAGGGCTCTTACAGCAGGGTAGTCAGAAAGGTTCAAGAACACATATTATTGTTTCTTAATTCTAGCAATCAGTCTGATTATTTAAAAAACTGCATGCATACATGCATTTCTGAGCATACCATACTCAGGTAAAACAAGCCAGACCTTCTAAAAGTACAATTTTCAAGTGGCTTAGCCAGGTAACTGTTGTAGCAAACCTCTCACACAAGAGAGGCTTTTGGGGGAACAGGCTTGTAAATAGGGAGGGTGTGAGGGTAGGAGGTATAACAATGGGAGAGTATCCTGCTTCACAAAATAAGGAATAATAGCAAGGAACTCGCATGCTGGTTACAACAGCATGGTGAAATATTTCTATTCATACAGAAACACAGACAACTGCTACCAGGAACTGAGAAAGTGGCAGATTCAGAAAAAAACCCTAGGTTTCTTTCATGACCAAGATCTGCAATTCAATAAAAAAAGTACAGGTCACGTAAATACCAAACCTGCTTTTTTGCCAGTCAGGCCATTAGCCAGATGTTTGAGATGAAAAGTTATGCAAACAGAATCTCATAAAAGCTTGTGACAGGATCAAAGAAACAATGCTAAGACTTATGAAAAACATGATCCTTTAATGTAGCCCAGATAACAGAAACCCAAACTGAAGAAAACCTGCAAACATCCTTACAGTGATTTGATTACAGCTAATTTGGTTTCCCAGAAAACATGAAGAAAGTTCAAATTCTATCAAATATTATAACAAACTCATGTTTTTTCCCCGGCAGAACCCAAACTTTTTTGAGCTGCAGCCCCTCTTGCAGCTTGGTACATTCAGACAATTCCAAATTTCTGGATGATATAGTAAAGTCATGTACTTGACTACTCAGGGAACTGCTGTTCTATGATAAAGTTCTGAACTAGGCTTCCAGAACTGAATTACACTCAGTACAGCTGCTTCTGTTATTTAGTAACTAGTGGTTTAGTCCAAATACTTCATTACCGAAAAATATAAATTATTACACTACCAACTCTGCTCATACTAGCATGGGCAAGGTAGTGTTGTTTCTCTTTTAATCTTAGTTGATATGGCTGTAAGGGTGCTGACTCATAAGTGACCCTGAATTGGGGCACACATCTGAGCTGCTGCAGTTTTCATCACAAAATACCAAAATATACTTTACAGTAATATGTCAGGCTGAAGACTGCAGTACCTCAGGAGGAGACGTATGTTCAGCCACCTACTGCTATAGACGCAGTAACCTCTGGGAGAAAAGGACGGCAGGCAGCTGGTGGAGGTTACTGCTGTAGACATCATAGCCAGCTTGGTCATTGTTTAAGAATCACAACCCTGCAGTCAAACCAGACAACTTTTTTTTTATTACAACCTGTTGGATTTGAGGTCGCATACTATCAGGCTACAACCACCTCGCATGCGTCAATGTGCCCCCAAAACGAGCTTGGATAAAAATGTTAAATATACCTTATTCTTTGGACAAATTCTATTTCTAGCCATTTGTTTTTATTCTCTTGGCTTCTGTACTGCTTTTCCCCATCACCACAGATGTTTCTTTATATCTTTTTTTCATACCTCCAAATCTCTCCCATTTCCATTGGGATTTCGCTTTAAACCATTTCACACCATGTCGACACGAACCATAATGTCAAATTCCAGTGTGCGTGCAACATTCCAGGTAAAATAAATGGTATAATTCATAACTAAGATGTAGATTTCATGTTACAAATGAAAAAGACGTGGAAGGACAGCAATTCTTCACACATGCTTCAGGATGGCAGCAGATTCAGAAACAAAGCATCGCGTCAGCTGACGCTTACTTTGTAGTAGGTGTAATAAAATAAATGAAATGTGATCATGCAGCATTCACAGGAAAAAGTAAAAAAAATCCAACACCAGAAGGTCTAGGTAGACAGACATTCTGAGGTCACCATTACCTCAGATGATGTGACTAAGACAACAAAAGCGTGCGTTTCCCAAGGACAGGCTAAATAAGTAGCGACGGAAAAATACAATATAGAACGCGAATGGAAAGAGCATGAAGGACCTACTGTACGAGGCAAAGCCAAACCCCACCCGGCGCACAGCAGCCCGCCCCATGAGCACACCACCACCATGAGCAATGCCCGGCAGGACGCCGGCCCGCTCGCCTGCCACCGGGGAGGCGGC